ACTTTTATGTACTTTCACCTTTTCATACTACAAGTAAACGTGCCAACGAAAAATATTATCATGACCTTCCAGATCTAAAATATGTGAATTCTTCAATAACAACCAGCAGAGACAAGATGCTTCATAATATAATCTCATATCCGGCAGGGGAAAACCTCCTCTCTCTTTCACATCTATCAATATTTTATATTTTATTCTCGGGGGTTTTCCCCTTGCCAGATATATTTAGAAATATATTTTTGCCATTTGTTGAGACAATCTGTCTTGCCGATCACCAGTATTGATTGAAACAAAAATAACCTCCTTGGTAATATATTCATTTTAATGGTTGACACCCCAACCAATAACAAAAGTTTCATTCTACTCCATATGGACTAGAAGGAGCTTTGATATGATGCAACAAGATTCTTACGTTCTTGTGTTCTTAAACATGCCCTGTGTCTATTGATTTTCCATCTTGTGGAACTAGGCCCAAGAACACTTAGACAGGGCAAATCCAATGAGAGTGAAAATGAAAGAAATTTACTGTCAGAATACGACACTATTTATGTCTCCCTCTCTGTGTATTTTTTTGGCAGCGTGTAAGCGAGATGCTTGGCAATTCATGCAATTAATTCCAGGCTGCTGTAAGTGCAGTCGAGGCAAAGGAAAATCAAAGGGATTCACATCACTTTGCTGCTGACCTAAAAAAATGACGATAAAAGATGAATACCCTTTTGCAGACGGGCGACAGCCTGCTCTTTGAAGCTGTTATATTTGCGGGGGGGAATATATTATTCTGTTTTGACATATGAGACATATTTCACTTGCACTATGAAAACAGCCCCATTCTCAGGGAAACACGAGGCTGAGGAAATATGGGAACGCTATCTGTTTCACTCTCTTGAAGCAGCTGAGCTGGAGTTTGTGGGCAGGAAGAGACCAGAGGTCCATGGTAGAACACATCGTTTGCACGCAAGTTTAGCTCTCACACCTGCGGTTGAAGTGTCTCAGGTATCATGAGTGGGAAGGACCCAAACCTTGGAGTCCTTGAAGAGATGCAACCAGTCAGAGTAGACAGCTCTGGTACAACACAGTTCTGTCTCAACAAATGAAGAGTTTCAGTTGTTTCCATTAGTAACTCAAAGTCAGCTTCCCCGTGATTGGAAACTGGAATCTTTTACAAGGGGCTATATGAGATCTCTTCTGAAAGTAACACTGAAATGCCCACTACTTATAAATGTACAGTATTTTCAGTGCTGTTAGATGGACTTCTAACAAATTAGTAAGCTTTGTTGGAGTAACAGGAGATGGGAAGGGGCTAATTTCCTTCATGACTGTAAATCACCTCATGGATGAGCTAATCGCAGGTGCAAGGTGAGCCAATCCAGTTGCTATGGTAATGGCCCAGTGCCCCAATATATGTGATTAATGTCAGCTCAGTAGTAGAGTCTGTTGCTTCTCCGGTGTTACGTCTTGAATTGCTGAACTTATTTAATGGAGATACTTTGTACTTGTATGTCTCTATCTATATCTGTACCTGCAAGAGCCTACAAGCTGTATACATCTACGTCCAAAACTGTTTTACTGAGTCTTATCTTCTGCAACAGTAAACTATTTGGACCTTAAGCTACTTTCATGTGGTGACTGGTACTAGCAACAACTTCTTGAGATTCTCAACAAGCTTCCCATAGAGACTGATAGAATTTCCAGCTACAGGTCCACAGGCACAATTCCAGAGCTTCACACAAGCTTCACAGATGAAACTTCCTTGCAGATCTCTCCCCACTCCCTGCTTTTTCCTTGAGGATGTTTCTTGCAACCATGGATGATGGTGACACAGCTCAACAGGCTAGATGAGAATGAAATCTGTGTCTATAGATAAAGAAGTAACAGATAGTTCCCCAGTAAACCTCTTAGGCAGTGTCTGCCACCACATAAATATGTGGGTTGGTGCAATATTGGTTGCATGCTGTTTCTCATTCCACCTAAAACAAACTCACCTTGGTAATTTCATTGCTCATTGGTGACATACTGATGTGCATCTATAGCCAGGATATCTGTGGGTGAAGAACACCCACATCAATTTTTTAAGAGCAGTCATCAATGCATCTTTCATGCTGCAAATAAGAATCACAACACTTTAAACAATTGCAGAAGTGCTCCAGGAATTGGAGAAAGAGATATGTTGCCAGTGGCATGGGTGCTAGCCAATAAGCTCCCAACACATACAGCTTTTCTCCTCAACAGGCTGAAAACTTGCAGAAAACTTTCTTCCTCTTCAGAGCGCACTCAAGGAAAGAAGAAACTATGTGTATTTTCAGGGCAGCCTTCAAATTGCCTTCACCATGTTTGAAATGTTATGTGCATCTTCACCTGAAATGACAGACTTTCTTATCACTGGTGAAGCTGTGCCACTTTCATTGGCCTCCCTAATCAAAATAGGGTCCTTTGCCATGTCATTCCTGATCTTCAGTGTAATCACACCTCATCACAAGGTGTATGTCTAAATCCACTTGCGTGTCCATTACACATGTTCCTACTTGCAAAAGGGTAACAGTTAAGTTTGGCTGATCTTTTCTGTGGCTTATAGGGTCAGGATGCTACTTATTCATTCCAGGTCACATCTCAGAGAGGCGCTTGTACCAGGGTCACAGATAGCTCATGATGTATTATATATTAGGCTCAACTGCCCTGATGTCATGGTCCATAGAAATAAACCATGTAAAAATCTGGACTAGCACCCATTGTCCCATGCCTGCCCACCAATGTTTTACTGCATTAAGAGCAGAGTCAGCTGGAAGTGGAAAGTACAGTCTTAGAAAATATTTGTGACTCACCTTTGCAGAAAGACAATGGTTTATTTCTTTATTGTGCAGGAGTGAATTTAGAGCACTTCCAGGCCGGTCACTTTCCAAGTGGCCTGGAAAGATTCCTTACATCCTCCTGTTACAGACACCTCCTCACAAAGAGCTGCATGGAAATGTAAATAGAGTGAGATCTAGAAAACTGTTAGTATTGACTGATGTGCCAGGGGAGGAAGTAAACAAGTTATTCTCATGGCTGTTTTTCAGAGTTCCATGGATATTTAGCATAGTAAACATGTGAAGTGTGTAAGGGAGCTGCACCTCTGGCAGAACCATAATGTGCTACAGTTGTCTGGCAGGTGTCCACTGTAGCATTGCCATTTACCTCTTCACTTTACATTAGAGGAAGCATGCATGTACCTTGTGTACAGGGCCATGGAACCTAGCACCCTCCAGATGTTGTTGACCCATAACAACCATGACCCCAGATGTTCAGCAACGTCTAGAGGGTCACAGATTCCCCACTGCAGGCTTTAGTAGATCCGTATTTAACCACAATGGCTTAACTTCCACTGCTAAATGTAGCACAAAAGGTTGGAAGCCTGTTGTGTAAAATGGCTCACCCCTTATTTCCACAACAGTCTCCTTGGGTAAGCAATGCTTAGAGACAATGACTGGTCCAAGGTCACCCAGTGAGTTTCATTGCTGAATGAGGGTTTGGACCTGGGCCTCCCCAGTCCTAGTCCAGCACTCTAACCACTGTGTCATGTTGGCTCTTGTCCTAATTATTAAGAGAATCCTCTAGGGCCCTGTTTCCCCTCCATCATAAGTAGCCCCACAGGATGGGGGCTTTCTGATGTTCTGATGGTTGACGACAAGAAAGGAAGTTCAACATCACCACAACACTCCTTATGATGACCAGGTTCCCCCTCCAGCATATTGACTTGGAGTTTATTGTAGTTTTAGCCTAATTGCATGCATTTTATTGTTTGATATTGTTCTAATTTCCTATCACGTTGTTTGCTACCTTGATTTATTTTTCTTTTATAGGAAAGAAGGAGACAGCTGTTGAAAATAAGTAAAGGAATAAGCAAACATGCATGTCTGAATTAGATCTTGTCCAATTTCAGCTCCATAGAAGTTTTCTAGTGTGTTTGCATACCTTCACCCCTCCTTCCACAGTAAGAAAAGACACTGGTTGACATTTGAGGAGCCCTGTTTTTCCTGTAAAGTGGCCCTAAAAGTACAGAAGCTTTCTGCCTCCTTTTTCTTGGGAGAAAAAAAACAAAGCTTTAGGGGGCAATTTGAAATGGATAAATTACAGGGGCAGGCGATGGGAGCACTTAACCATCCTTCCACCTCTTCAAACCCCCACCCCATCACCCGCATCCAAATGAGCTTCTACATCTGTAATGTTCCAGAAGTGAGTGTGAAGATGGAAAGCAGTTATTAGGATCTTTGTGCTTGTGTGCAACATGTAGTTGGGTCCTAAATGTCTGTGAAAACACAATTTAGTGGTTACAGTTGTGTGTCCCTAATCTAACAGGAGTGCCATTTCAGATGTGGGGGAGGGAGGAAAGATTTTAGGAGGACTCAAGATCCACAGCCAGCTTCAGAGGCGAGCCTTAGGGCAGAGTCAACATTAGATTACCGAAAAGTACTCCCTTGAACTTTTAAGGGTTTATCTGCTGTGGTCATCTCTTTTCTCATCTTCTTTTGACACCTTTCAATCACTAGATCTCTAACTGCTCTGAAGAACATGACAGCCCACCATAATTGGCGCCCTTGCACCGCTCGTTCGCTCCCTCCCTCCCTTTCTTTGGAGCCGACGCTGCGCCATAGGTTACCTGCCAGCAGTGAGCATTTCGACTGGGCGCATTTGTGCCTTCTCTACCACAGCTTGCAGAGTGTGAAAAAGGAGGAGCTGGCATACGCCTCTCTTACTGGAGCCGAGCGCTGTCCGACAGGAGCAGCAGCAGGGCTTTTATTAGGCTAGCCAGCTTCCCGCTCTAAGCGGGCAAGCTCAGAAAGAGTAGCTTAGCCGCGCGTCGGCTCTGCAATCCCTAGCCAAGGAGATCTGGGACGTACCCTTCCTGGGAGGGAGAGATGGCTTCCTCCTGACGCCGTTTCCGGAGGGGAGGGGGAAGAGACAGAAGGGAGGGGATGAGATGGGAGGGGGGCCCTATATAAATGAGGTTGCTGCTGCAGTGCCCCGTCGGGGATCATCAGCATTAGAGAAGGAAGAGGATCTAGGGAAGGGAAGGGGACGGGCTGATTAATCTGCCTCCCGGCTCAGCTCTCGCCCGATGCCAGAGTCCCCCTCCGCCAGCTGCTACCTCTAAAGCCCGGCCGTCAGCAATAAAGGCAGGAGAGATCTCCTCTAGCCATCCTTCGGCGCTGCAGCCCGTTTCGCCAGCGTCATGACCCGCACAGTATTGCTTGCTGTTCTCCTCCTCGCAGCGCAAGGTAAGCCTCCGAGGCAGCGGCGGGTGGGCTGGCTCCGTCTGCTGCCCGCAGTTCCTTTGCCGTATGGAACTTGCCCGGGGACCTCTGTCCGCAGCGGCTGTTCATTTCAGCACCAAGGACAGAGGCGCGGTCTTTGGCTCGCTGGCCCAGTCCGGCTACCCTGGGCACAAGATGGAGGAGCTGCTCCAGGAGGACGGGGAGTTGCCTTGTTTTTGGAAGAGGGGAGAGTTGGCTTGGGGGTACCACGCAGTTCTCTGAGTCAAGAGACTTCAGTGAACTCCTGCGAGAGCCTCGCGAATCTGACTTGATCCACAAGGTCATTTTACGCTAGCAAACTTTTTGAAGCCCAGTCGACCCATTTTGCAAAGCACTCGAGTTCCTTTTTGAGTCTGGTTGGTTTCCTCCCCTTCTAAAAATAAAAATTCCGTCCTGCAATATCTTTGTGTTTTTAACCAAAAAAACCCGTTCCTTCCTCCTCCTTTCTCTCCCTAGCTTCCTACCCATACGCTTCCTCTTATCTGTTTGCACTCATGAACAACCTAAACAAACCACCAACCAGCTTACTCAGACTCAGGATGGTGAAAAGAAAGAATCTGCAACCTACTTCTGAATGATTTGTTGCAGATCTACCCCCCCCCCCCAGCAAGCAATCATTGCTGCAGTCCACTTAGCCTTCACTTTGGATGTCTGTTTGAGCAATTGTGTTCAGGAATCAACCACTTCTCTCTGTTTTTAAGCCCCAAAGTGGAGCAATCTTGCGATGCTGGATTTCATACGCTGCTTTTGTGACTTATTATCCTAGCAGAATATATTTGTGCCAATCGCTCTCTCTTCCCCATCTGGCTTGCATTGGCTGAGTTTTGCATGCCATGGGCCAGCTGGCTGGAACTATTCCAGAGAACATGTAATATCTTGCCTTTCTCTCCCTTTCTCTCTTGCAGTACTTTCACTTCCAGTAACAAACCCAGCGACTAAAGATGACACAAAGGTGAGTTGCAAAAACAGAATGGTAAAAATAAATAAATCAGGAATATTGTTTAAGCAGAACTATGGGGCAGTGTCCTGTCTTGTCTGTTTAAAAGATTCCGCAATATATAGTAGCTTGAAATGAATAAGAAGAAGCAATTAATTGCCTCTTGTGGAAGCCACTTAACATGTTACATTTTTAGGTATATATCCAAGATTCATGTGTGCTTTTTTTTTGTAGCTAAAAAACATGGAGCAAATATTGGCTGCAAATCCCTTCTGGGGTAAACCCAGGCATGTTGCTGGGAAATGTAGGAAACAGTCCTTCTGAAAAGTCATTTCCTTGCCCTAGTTTCTGTTCCTTCCCACTTTTTGCATGTGATTAAAAGCAAGACAACAAAGACGTGCGTAATTTCATCACTGTTTAACAGCAGCTGTAGGTGCCCCTCTTGAGTATCTGAAAGGTTGGTGAATTAGCTTTCCAATTATATCCTGCATAAGCCCATTGTGGACTATACTTAACTCCCTGCTGTTAAAGGGCTTAAGTGTTACTGGGTAACATACTTGAAAGTTGTCATTAAGACTGATGGACTGTCTAAAGTGAGGCAAAACCAAACCAAAACGAACATTACACAAGTGTATTATTATGCCAGGAGCTTAAGAGATCAATATCAAGGCTCAGATAATCAGTGGGTAAGCGTATATGCTGTACGAAGTGGGTTGCAGTTGAAATATTGTAAATCCACATTTAAAGAAATGGTAGGATGAAGGTTTTGCTACAGGACTGCCAATGGGTGGCATGGAAATTATTAAGATCCTTGTTAATTCTACCCAGTACTTGTGTGGCAATATGATTATGGGAAAACAGACAGACTGGGAATTCATTAATTCCATCAATCCATTCTGTCACCTATCCTTGTAGACACATTGAGCTGTAAAAGTAGTAAGATATAAATTTGATAGGGAGAAATGTTACAGGAAATGAAAAAACTACCATATTGAGGCCACTTTACCTTGTATAATATGTACCTTCTTTTATGGCCTACTGTGGTCTGGTTTATGTATCTACAGGACTGGTGGGACTGGAGAGGCGTCATTTGGACCTTGGGGATAGACTTGATGCCCCTTTCATGCCTTTATTTTCAAAGTCAAATGCATGCATGGGGTGTGTGTGTGCACAGGCAGAGTGCTGAGGGAGTGGAAGCACATCCACAACAGTGCAGGTGGGGAAAGGAATTGGCAGTTCACATCTGGTGGCCTTCCACAGTGTGGATGCACGGTGCATTTCTGTATATAAATCTGTGCTAGGACAGAGTATTTGTCTATTTTGCACAGTGGTATTTTACAAACCATTGATTAGTGCTCTGCCTCAGCCCCTGACACATTGTAGTTTGTCATGGGTAAAGGGGCAAGTGGTTAAGCCTAAGACTGACTTTGTACATCTTGGGACTAACACAGCAGGCATTGCTGTATCTGCTGCCTACTATCCCTATATTTATATTTATTTATATACTTCTACGGCCCTTCATCACATGGCCAAAAGGTGGTGCACAAGTTATTTTTAAAAATGCAGCAACTCATATTTCTAAAATCAATTAAAAGATTCAAAGCAAATTAAGCACAGCATAAACTAATAAATAAGAGGGGGGAGCAATGGGTAAAATACAAACTGACCTCAACAAATCACACCTCTTTGCCTCCAAAAGCTTGGCAGAAGAGGTACGGTACATCTTCACCTTCCTTCTAAAAGAGCACAGCTCTAAGGCAAGACACACCACAGTGGCAAAATCCAAAGTTTTGGAGCTGTCATTGAAAAAGTCTTCCTACAAACCCCTGCACTGTTGAGCCCTCACAGGCAGTGTTAGAAACTGAGATATGAAAGCTAGGAGCTACGTTATGGGTGCCACAATGGAGTGCCTAGGCATGCTTTTTTAATAGCAAGAATACAAAGCTGAAAATGGATGAACTGCAGCTAAAATCTTATGTTCATTTTTCACATAGTCTAGTCCTTCTCCTGCCTACCCCTCTAATATTCTTAAGAGGGTCTCTTCTCCAGTCTTCAGAGAGTAGCTGGAAGTGGGGAGGCAGAAAAAGGTCCTCCTTTCCTTCCACTCTGCAGTTTTAACCTGAAATTGTAGGCGCAGTACTGCACCCACAGCTCAGAAACTGCTCACGCTAATGAAATTCCCTGTTGCAAAATGCGACTAGAACAATGGGAGTTTTGAACGCTGCTCACAGGGACACCCTAGGAGGGTGGCACTAGCTGATCCTAAAGACTAGAGAGGTTGGTATGGGGAAAGGGATTCTCTCAGGTTTTTTGGGTTCCTGGCTGTTCAGGGCTTTGTGTGTTTGTGTGCACTTGTATATCACCTGGAAATCTGCAGTCAAAATTCCCTACTACAATGTTTCTTTATGCAACCTTTTTTTAAAAAAAAATGCTGCCCACTTTAAATTTACCTAAATTGGCTTCCCTTGTAAGTGCGAATGGAGTTGAGCTTACATGCCTTACCTCCATCTTTTACTGAAATCTGCTGCAAGAGACCTTTCCATTTTTGCGTGGATGGGAAAAAAAGCTTTTTGCCAGCTTTGCTAATTATCCATAATCTCTCCAAAAAACACAATTACCTTTCAGCCCGTGTGCTTTAAGAAATGCTGCACTGTCCCCTCTTTCTGCCAGCTGGGAGATTTTGTTTGGAACTCTCTTCATGCCCAGCGGCAGTTTGGGAGGCTTCCAAATATCTTGGGGTAGGGGGTCGATGTAATTTCACTTTTGTCTGGGGCCCCCATGCTGGCTCAAATCACTGCAATTTTACAACATTTTCATTAGAAGAGAGCACATCAGCACTTTTTGAGGCACCGTGCTGTACAGAATACTTGGCTGCGGCTGTTTGAGAAAACTCTAATAAGACCACAAATTCCCTCTCCCTACCACCATCCACAAGTGCTTTTATATCTGCAATTATATGAATCTCTGTTGAAAAGCCTTCCTTAAATGTTTGATGGTACCATTTGCACCGCAGCATCCCTGAGCAGTAGTCAGTGGCTTGGAATTAAAATGCTAGAACTGTAGAACTGGGTGCAAAGACTGGAATGGCGAAGAGAATAATCTAAAGGCCAAGAAGATGGTTCTCTTGCTGAATATAAGGAAGTTTGGGCCTTGAGCTGTGTTTGTATGAGAAACTTCCAGGCTTGCAGTCCAGTCAGAATTATGCCCAGTGCTGTCTGTGTTGATATGACCAGGCTTCAGCATATGCATGCTGGATTGAGGACCATATGCAAAGAAATCTCAGCCTCATGGAGGAAGAGCATCATATAAATATAGGGTATAATCCAGATTAAGTTATCTGAATTTAGTTCCCATTGATTTGAACTCAGGTTAAGCCATGACAAACTTGTCCCATTGATACTAAGTACATCTTGCTTTGCACTGATTTAGCCTATAATAAACAAGTCAATGTTCATTTCAAGATTACCAATGCCCATGTGTCTAACAGGAATAGCAGCAATCCACAACATAAAGATGTTGGCGGACTGCAGCCATTAAGGCTACAATTCCACACATTGTTACATAGAAGTAAGCTCCATTTAAGGATTTACTTTTGAGTCTTCTTCTTCTTCTTCGTCTTCCTTATTAAATTTATATACTGCCCTTCATCCAAAGATCTCAGGGCGGTTCACAAGATAAAAAATACAGGATAAAAGCTCAATTTAAATAGTTAAAACAAAAGCCAAGCAAAGCAATAACCCCCTTCCATCCATAAACTGTAAGCTTTGCAAAGCTCTTCACAATGAGCATGCTATAAAATAAGATAAAGGAATTACTAACAGCACTGTTCCCCATTAAGCCTTTGCAGAACGGTTTGCTTCCCTCTGCAAGCCACCAAGTCAGAACCCAATTCTGCCCCACCCCCGCACCCACCCCGACCACAGCACCTCCTGCTGACTTCGGCCATCCAGCATTGCTGACAATGTGAGAAGGTCAATGCTGTGAGCTGTGAAGTTAGCCTAATTCCATTACAAATACTGCCAGCATCACACACATTGATTCCCAAACCCCACCCCACCCCCTGGGTACCCATCATATAATTCACCAATCTGCAGTGCCCGGCATAGCACAGAGGAACATGAAGCAGCTGCTTTGGGCAGCAGATCTCAGAAGGAAGGGTCATTAGTCTTACTCTAGCGTTATTCTGTATGTATCCTTCAAATAAAACAGGGAAGGGTGCAAATTAGCTCTTCCTTTGAGCTGTGCCAGTGGCTTAAACTGGTCCTGCGAATGTCCATCATCTCCCCTTGAAAATCTCTACTGTTGCTGTCTATACTTCAAAAGGACCCCACCCAGAATCTTTATATGTTATTCTCCTTTGAGTCTGCTTCTTTCTCCCGTATATTGGGACAACATACCTGGCTTGGGTAAAATTAGGGGAAATCACTCTAATGAAATACTTGCTATAGAGAAATATCATGCTTGACAGCCTTCCAATTGCCTCCACTTGTCCCCTGCCCACAAGACGACATGGTATTCTCATTGTCTTCTTGCCTGCTTATATTCCTGAGACTAATCCAGGAATATAACCTGTATGGCAGCGACTCTCCAAGAGTCTCAGGTGAGGAACTGCCTGAGATGTTGTTGTTGTTGTTGTTGTTGTTGTTGTTTGCATTTACAGCCCACCTTTTCCCAAGGAGCTCAAGGGTCTTTCTGCTCCTACTCATTTAATCCCCACAACAACCCTGTGAGGTAGGTTAGGCTAAGAGGCAGTGACTGGCCCAAGGTCACCCAGTAGGCTTCGTGGCTTAATGGGGATTTGAACCCAGGACCTAGTCCAGCACTCTAACCACTATGCCACCATTGGTGTACCCAGACCTGCATAGAGAGAGGCTGAGGACTGAACCTGGGAACCTGGGAAGCAGATGCTCTACCACTGAGCTATTCCCCTTCCTCTAACCCTAACTGCGTGAGTATGAGCTGTGGCCCAGGAGACCCAAATCCCAGGTCTCTTGCACTGGCCCTCTCTTTTTAAAAAAGAAAAAGTGCTGCTGTTGCAGCTTGCAGAGTGTGGCTCAGCCTGCTGCCAATGAAATGCTGGTGGGATCCCAGCAATCCATCATCTTATTTTGCTCAGAAGCCCAACCTTGCATCTGTACACTTCCATTAGTACGTACAAATTTGTATCGGAGCCTATGACCTGGTTCTTAAGTGCCTAACACCCTCCAGCTGGCTGCACCAGACCCTTAGGTGCTTGCAGAAAGGCATACAGCAACATCCCACAAAGCAGACAGCTCATGATCAGAGAGGCATCGTTTTATGGCTTTTATCTATTTCAGGGTTGAGCTCTAGCATCCACAACATGTTTCTAGGCCGAGCCCCATAGGGCCATAAAAAGGAACCTGCAGGATCAAACCATAGGACTATCTAGGCCAGCATCCTCTCCCACAGGGGCCAACCAGATGCCCCCAGGATGCCCACAGTAAGCACATCCTTCGCATGATACATCCAATGGGTGAACTCTGAAGCAGGTCTCCCATAAAATCCATTATTCCCTGACCCTCAAATCTCCTGCATAGCTGAAAAGCAATTCGGTCAGAGTGAAGAAAACACAGCCTTAAAAAAAAAATCTATTCAGCCTCACTTCAGCTGAAATTATCCATTCCTTTATTCAGTGGCCCTTGCAGAGTCACCAACACATTAACTGCCGAGTTGTTGCCCATTAAGACCTATAGCAGGGGTGGTTAACCTTTGGCCTTCCATATGTTGCCTCCATCATCCCGGACTATTGACCAGGCTGGCTGTTGGCTGATAATAGTCAAAAGTCCAACAGCGCTTGGAAGAATAGAGGTTCCCCTATCTCAGTCCTATAGGGTTTAAGTACAGGCAACATTTCTTGTGTTTTAAGGTCCCCTGAGGAGTCCATCCTCCAGATGCTATTTCCTCCCAGCCCACAATTAGGCTGGGCTTTCTAAGTGGTGGCCCCTTGACTGTGAAATAAAATCCCCAATTAGGCTTAGCAGGCTCAAGGATGGTTTTCCTTTATGCAAAGGCTGAAACCTTTCTGTTTTCCCATTCTTTTAACAGTTAACGCTGCTCATTTTTCTTCTTTTGCTTGCTTATGCTTGCTATGACTAAGTGCTGAGGGGTGTATGCCATTTTAATATTTTTAATTAGTTCTATTATTGTTTTGTTCCTTATGTAAAACCTCAGGCGCTTGCAGAAAGGCCAGTGATAAATGTGAATAAATAAAGCACTGCTATGAAAACACATCTTTCAAACACCCACTTCTTCAAACATGCACATAATGCTCACATACCTACCCATATAGGAACACAAATGCATTATCTTTTGTGTGTCTGTGAACATTTTATAGCACCAACATTAAGGGGGAAATTGCAGGGTAGTGAACAGCATAAAACCAACAATAAAATGTCATTGATAAAATAAGCATAAAATATGTCACAAATCAGTAGATCAGTACACACACACACATCCATGGTTTTATGTGCAGTTGTGCCATGTGTCATCCTAATGTGTCGTTAGCAAATAAAGGCTTGTCACATTCCCAGCCAGAGCAGTCAAGGACCTCTGGTCTTCTCAGAGAGACAAAAGATATTGCAGATGTAGCTCATCATACCTGTCCCTTTCCTGTTCTTGTTGGACACCTCACCCCCAAGCTGCTGCAAATGATCCAGATATTCCCTGCATCTAGCAGGAGTGGGGCTAATGTGTCAGAAATCCTCTCTCCACAGTGCATTGGATCCAGACGAAGTCACACTTGAATCCCACTGAAATCAATGTGATTTGAGTAAGTCATTATTCACATAAGCCCAATTGATTTCAGTGGGACTAATTTGGTCTAGATCCAATTGTGGGAGTCCCTCTGCACAGCTGTCTTGCCTTTAGCAACTGATTGAGCAGTGGTAGGGCAACCTCTGGTTCTCCAGATCAGCCTTAGCCAGCATGACCAATGGTCAGGGATGATGGGACTTGTAGTCTAACAACATCTGAAGGACCACAGATTCCCTCATCACTGTGGGAGGGGGAGCCTTGAGAGCTGGAATTGACTCAAGGACCAGCAGTTGCTAACCCAAAGTGCACAGCAATTTGTCACATAGCAGAATTCCAAAATGGTGCCCCAAATTAGAATATTTGCATGCAGGATTGACATTCTTCCCCTCAACTAGAGCAAGTCTTCCAGCAGGCAAGTCGCTCTTGGCCCTGAGACTATGTTTTCTCCAACATTCGTTGTGCTCTTTAACCTGGAAGAAGGGGGTTCATTGTTTGCCTGTGGGATGTGATGCCTATGAAAGCTTATGCATCAATAAATTAGTTAGTCTTTAAAAACTCTGAAGAATGTAAAATCAAAGCATTGGTCTTTAGGAAGAACTAGTAGAATAATATGATATGCGGTGCCATGTGAAATGTGCAAAACAAGAATGAAGAACATATTTGTTATGTGTCCCCCTTTATTGATACTGGGAAAGCTCAGTGGGTAGAGCATGAAGCTCTTAATCTTAGGGTTGTGGATTCAGGACCATGTTGGGCAAAAGATTATTGTGTTTAAGGGGGTTGGACTAGATGATCCTAGCGGTCCCTTCCAAATATACAATTCTATGTTTCTATGATCATGCTCTGGGTTACCTTTATCAGGGAGATAAGATCAGCACATGGGTTGGAGCATGGCCTGTTGTGCAGTAAGACTACAGAATTAGTACCCAACAGATCAGTGAAACTTCCCATTTGGCTTCAGGAAGAAGTATAAAGCACACACCTTTTCTTTTTGTTTGCTAATGGCTTTGGAGAACAATGGTGCTGTCATTAATCTATCTGCTGCTGCTTGAAATTGCTTAAGTGGTGCGTTGGTTTTTTTTCATGAACTGTGAATTTATTTTTATTTTTTTACAAATCTATTTTAATGGCTGTAAAAGCAACCTTGAGCAAATGATGTAATGAAGTGCACATTATTTATCAATGAATAAAACATCCACACTGCAAGGAGGCTTGTGGCAGTGCTGCAACTGGGAGGAGGAGGCAGTTCTAAGGTTTGGAAGAGGATGAGAACCAAAGTAGTCTCTTTCTCCTTATCCCATGCTCCTGGGCTGATGTGTTTTTCTCCCTGGTTTGGGAGCAGCTCAGGGGTCAGAGATGGCTATGGATCCTTTGGATCCACGTCTTCCCCTGGCCCTTCCCACCATGAGATGCATCCTCAAGTAACTTCCCAGGGAGCCATAGGATTGCAGGGTGTCACAGCGCTAGCAGGCCTCGAGTGGGAATTAACTCTTCATTGTCAAAAGCACACTTACAAGTTAGGGAAAGGCAGGTCCATCAGTCCTTCGTCTATCAGCCACTCGTAGGTATGCACCCGATGAGGCAGTTGCCACAACAGAGAGGCCCCTGGCCTTGGCTTAAGTATCTCCCTGATCTGAGCTCCACGCAAGCAAGTGAAGACTCTGCCTGCAGGGAACCTTCTGCACCTCTCTCTTCTGGTTCTGGGAGACAGTGGAGCAAGAGAGGTAGAAGCAGAAGGAGGAAGTATGGAAGCCCTGGGCTCTACCCTAGCTTGACCTCTCCCTCCCTCCACCTGTTCTTCACTTTGCAATCCTGCAGCTTCTCCTGCCTCTGACTCTTAACTCCTGGCTGCTACAGGCTTCCCCAGATCATTGATCCCTTCTTCAAGTTGGTCTCCAACCCCCCTTCTCCCAGGGCCCACTCCTCAGAATCCAGCCACTACCCCTCAGTGTCCTGCCAGTCCCTGACATCAGGTCAGCAGCTGTTCTGCAGAAGGATACACAAAACAATATAAAGAACTAAAACAGCACCCAGCGCAATAAAGGCAAATGCCAGTAAGATCCAATAAAACAGGGATGGGGAACTTGTGGTCCTCCAGATGTTTTTGGGCTGCAACTCTCATTGTCCCTGACCATTGACTATGCTGCCTGGGGCTCACCAATGTTGAAGTCAAACAACAATTTCTTTTATTTATGGGTTGTTTTAAAAGAGGTGCAGGTTGTTGCGAAAGATGGGTATTTGTGTGTGTGTGTGTGTGTGTGTGTGTGTGTGTGTGTGTGTGTTTTAAGTGAGCACTAGGTTCGAAAGCTGGAAGACCAAGAGAGCAAAAGGGTTCCTTCCCATGTGGTTATATTTCCAAATTCCTTTTCATCTGAAATGTCATTATGGGGAAAGCAATTTTCTACGGGGATGTTAAGGGTTAGTCACTTACAAACCACAAACATTTGGACAAGGCTTGATGAAGGGAAGTTATTGGCAACTGGGACTCAATTGCCCACACATTTAAATTTAAAGGGCAGCTGTGATTGTCTAGTTTTGTGTTGCAGCAGCTTGTGGGAGATTTAAATTTGGAACACCCTGCTGTTGATGAGTTTTTAAAAGTGTTCTGCTTCTAGAAAAGAAGGTTGCTTTGCAATAACTTTAAACTAACACCAATATCACAAACACACCCTGCCGTTTATATTAGAGTCAATGTGAATTATTGCTTATCATATATGATTAGGAATGCAATCCTAGGCCAATATACTTGGGAGTAGTGCCATTGAGCTCAATGGGTCCTATTCTCAAGTAAATCTGTATAGGCTGGCAGCCTAAATTGAGAAATGCTCCTCTGCATAGACTTAAAAAACAGGGCGTAAATACTGCAGTGCTATTAATCCCTCTTGTGCATGATTGATAAATTGTGATATGTGGTGCTCAGCAAGGACAGGATAAAGTGTTCAGGGCTTTTAGCCCATCTTCCCGAACCTGGTGCCCGTGGGCAGTTTTGGACTCCCATCAGTGTGACTCTTTTGCATTGAAAGGCAGAGTACAATGTTGACATTTATTGCTTTATTATTATTAAGGCTTGGTTATCTTGCTAAGTGATGCTAGCAGCAGTTTAGGCTGCTACTAGGGGGTTGGGTCCAAAGCAGTGGTATGTAAGCATTCTGTCAGCTCAAGGATTTCCCCTTCATTAGGTTATTCCTGCCTTTCTCACCCTGCATGTGCCCATGGCGAATGAAGAAGGAAATGGAAATTACAATCTTGGAGTCCCTGAGGCTATGCAAACTTGGGGGGCCTAAACTTAATAGCATCTGACCACAAAAAAACAAAACTTAGTTCTCTTCTTTACTATTACTAAGCAACTGGGTCTAGATCACGGGTATGCAACCTAAGGCCCATGGGCCACAAGCAGCCCAAGGGGGTCATTTAACCAGCCCACAAGCTGTCCCTGAACCAAGCTGCCCGTTTGGCGAGTCCCCGTGCGCTGCGGTAAACTGGCGCAGTGCAGGGACTCGCTTCCACAGCGCCGGAAATTGTGCCTGCACAGACACAGATGCCGGAAATCATGAGCGCATGCGCTCAGGCACACGCACGATCCGGTCCACAGAGGGATCTCTGCTGGAGTGAACCAGCCCAGGCGAGGTAAACCTTGCCGACCCCTGGTCTAGATAGTAAAATCTGCCTGTTTAATTTTTAATTTTTGGCAAGAGGTTAAGGGCCTGCTCATTTATCAGGCCCTGGGCTGCAGCCTGCTCAGCCTGTACGTAAGTCTGGGACTAGATCTTGGTGCACAGCCATCCACAACATCATTGTGCAGGCATGGGTGCACCCACACACGCCATTGCTGAGAATAGCTCCATCTGATTTCAAATGGACACACTGGCGGTGTGTGTGTGTGTGTGTGTCATGCAGAGCCAATAGGCACCAAGCTTTGATTTTCAGACTGAAGCTAGTTTGTGGGGGAAATGCTTTTCAGGGACACAAAATGTGCTTTAGGTCCAGATTGTGTGTGGACTGGGTAAAAGAAACAAGATCTCAGAGAAGAGTGGCAACTTAAGTTGACAGAATACGCACAGCTTGCAGACTTAACATATAGAATAAGAGAAAAAGAAGAACATACGTTTAGAAAAGATCTGAAAACGTTTATTGAATATATGGGAAGTAACTGTGTACAGCTGAAAACGCTGGCAGCATTAAGATAAATTCAACAGCGTAAATAAGTTACGATGGGTGTAATAATGGAATAGTGAATGGTATCGTTTGTGTAAAATATGCAGGGATTTGTGATATGTAGAATGAAAGAGAAGAAGGGAAGTCATTGATATCTTAAGGATGTCAAAATGAGTATTTTAAATTGTAAAACAGAAAATTTTATAAAAATTATATAAAAAAAGAAAAGAAACAAGATCTCAGCATGTGTTGACTGTAGAATATAATGTCATGTGTATGCAGCCGGACTACATGTGGAATCATACAAGTTTCCCTGTTCCATATACCTGTAGCCCTCCAGATGTTGTTGAACTACAGTTCCCATCATCCCTGACTATTGGCCATGCTGCATGGGGCTGATGGGAGTTGGAGTCCAACAAGATCCAGAGGGACATCACAAGGTCCCTATGCATAGTTGGAGTGTTGTATTAGTGCTGAGGAGACCTGGGTTCATATCCCCACTCAGCCATGAACCTCTCTGCGAGGATGAAATGGGGGGAGGGAAGGAGAACCACGTCCAGAGCGTCCTGAGTTCCTTGGCAGAAGGATGGGATGTAAACCAATATATTTTTGTTTCCCCAGGTGATGAACTGCATCGTCGAGGTCATTTCTGACATAGTGTCAAAGCCAAATCCACTCCCAATCAGCCAGGAATGCCTAGAAACTCTTCAAGGAGGTACAGAGTCATTTTCTCCCTTACTAATGAAAAGTCCAATGTGTTAATATTATAAAATTAAATTGTGTGTTCTTTTTTAATGGGCTGCCATAATGGATTATTTTTTAAACAAAAACCAAAAAGATAACCTCAACCAGCCCATGTGCTAATGGAGCTATGATGAGTATGCCAGCTCACCTTGGCTTTGGCAGGCTTCCTTGACAAGCTTCTTCTTCTTCTTCTTTGCAGATGAAAGAATCCTTTCCATTCTTCGCCATCAAAACTTACTAAAGGAGCTTCAGGAGATTGCAGTCCAAGGTACAGTTTAGCTGGAATCATGGGGAGTGCCCAGTCTTTCACTTAAGAGGCATGCACAGCTTCTTGTATTTTACCCAAATGGAAATAATTAAGAAAAAGCGAGAGAGAGTAAATTGTGCAGAATAAGGGAGTTGCATTATCTATTCATATCACATCATTTCATGTTATTTGACACAGGGTTTAGCTTGCCCTGGAGTTAGGGCTATTGGTCAGTTATGTGTGAGGAGTACACACAGTTCTGTCTACTGACAGCCTTTGCAAAAATGGCTATGCTCCCAATGGCATAAAAAAACTTTCTCAGCTAGCCATTCTGCAGAAGGCACATTTCAGCCCAGGGCTTCCTGATTTGTAGCCCTTAGCATGTTGCAAAGGCTACCATAGACATTCAGTGAAAGCCTGTTGCATTTGTGTTGTGCTCAGGTCCACCTTACAAGCGTTGTATGAGAAACGGGTTAGCAAAAATGGAACCCCACAGCGCCATCTGGTGTCACAGTGTTAGAATGCATAAACAACACATATAAGGCCCTTTTTCTTTGCCAATGTAGCTGAGACCTGGGTTGCTGGACTAGATAGGCCATTGGGCTGAGTCAGCAGGCTCTTCTTATGTTATAAAATATGCAAAGCGGGTGGTGCTGTGGTCTAAACCACTGAGCCTCTTGGACTTGCCTATCAGAAGGTCGGCGGTTTGAATCCCTGCAATGGAGTGAGCTCCCATTGCTCTGTCCCAGCTTCTGCCAATCTAGCAGTTTGAAAGCACACCAGTGCAAGTAGATAAATAGTTACCGCTGTGGGGGGAAGGTAAATGGCGTTTCCGCGTGCTCTGGCTTACGACACAGTGTTCCATTGCACCAGAAGCAGTTTTGTCATCCTGGCCACATGACCCGGAAAGCTGTCTGTGGACAAATGCCGGCTCCCTCGGCCTGAAAGCGAGATTAGCTCTGCAACCCCATAGTTGCCTTTGTCTAGACTTAACTGTCCAGGGGTCCTTTACCTTTTTACCTTTACACACACACACAAGCACACACAAGCACACACACGAGCACACACACACACTAGCTGCCATGGGTGGGAGCATCGCAGCCCCAATGGAAGTCTGTTCCCCATCCCACTGCTATTTGAAGCTGCTATTGCTATTTGCCTCCTGGTGCAAATAGCAGCTTCAGAGCCATGCTGTGTGTGTGACTGCAAGGAGGGGAATGGTTAAAGCTCCCTCCCAATCCACCTCGCCCACCATGGCTGCTATTTTGAAAGGGGGAAAAAGATGCCCACTGGCTAACCAAAAGATTCCTAAGTCAGGGGGTTGGACTAGATGACCCTCGGAATCCCTTCCAATGCTAGAGTTCTATGATTAACGTAACATGCATTTTGTTCTTGGGGGGGGATGCTTTTAGACAACAGGTTTTTCCCGTGTTGCGAGGAGAATGAATGCACTTGAAATAGTTTGAATTTTAAAAGAGGAGAGATGCCAAGTGTTGATTTCCTTCTCTCTCTCTTTCCTGTCCCCATCTCCCCTTCATCAAAACTTCTGTGTGTGCAAAAAAACAGGAGCAAGCGAAAGGACAGAGCAGCAGAAGAAAAGCAGCGGCTTTGAAGATGAGCTTTCTGAGGTCCTTGAAAGCCAAAGCAACAGGAACATGGAAAGAGGTCAGGGACGCGGGTGGCGCTGTGGTCTAAACCACTGAGCCTCTTGGGCTTGCTGATCAGAAGGTCGATGGTTCAAATCTGTGCGATGGAGTGAGCTCCTGTTGCTCTGTCCCAGCTCCTGCCAACCTAGCAGTTCAAAAGCATGGCAGTGCAAGTAGATAAATAGGTACTGCTGTGGCAGGAAGGTAAACAGCGTTTCCGTGACTCTGGTTTCCATCACGGTGTCCTGCTGCGCCAGAAGCGGTTTAGTCATGCTGGCCACATGACCCGGAAAGCTGTCTGTGGACAAACGCCGGCTCCCTCAGCCTGAAAGTGAGATGAGCGTCGCAACCCCATAGTCGGCTTTGACTGGACTTAACTGTCCAGGGGTCCTTTACCTTTTACTTTACCAGCTTAACCCACACATAAGTCAGTGCAAACCACATAAATAGATATTAATGATGAATTAACATGTACCATTAAGGTAAGACAGGGAATATGCAGGAGAAATGATTTTGAGGAGATATGGAGGGTGTTTGTAGAATTTGTACTGTTAAAAGGAAAAGGGGTCAGACCATCGCAAGAGGTATTGAAATTTTGGGAGGTTGGATAGTTACAATGGAATGGTCTCGGTGGTGAGGTGCACATATTTATTCCTATTTATTTATAGTATTACTTTGTCAAAATAATAATAATTAATAAAAAATAAATCTGGGCCCTGTACTCATGATGTGGCAATCAGTTAATTCTACCTTTGCAGTTGGCTATTTTCTACACCCACACACTCACACTCTCCTCTCTATCCTCCATCCATGCAAGCGAGAGTCATTATCAGAGTCCGATGACAGATTCCAGCCAGGCAAAAATACTCAGGGTGTGATGCAGTGAGGGGTGTGGCCTGGGGAGAACTCAAAGGGCCAGTTAGAGAGACTTGGATGTCCACATTTGGCCCCTGCGTTTGAGGTTCCCCACCCCTACACACCTGCTGCCCAGCAATGTTTCTTGGAAGAACTTAGCAGACTCTTTCAGAGTCCCTAACAAAAACCATTCGAGCCTGGGAAACTGGATATCGTCAAGGTTTGTTTTGTTCAAAGGAAATTGCATAACAAGGTAGAACAGGAGACTTCCCGGGAGTTGGTGAGGTTTATGAAGTCTGAATAGAATGCTAGAGTTAAAGAAGATTGTAGAATTGTTATTGTTAATGCAAAAAGGCAAAATGAATGAGTTGTATCGGAGGAAATATGATTTAAAATTATGATCAATGATTTATATGGATAGATAAAGGAAGAATAACTCTATTTGAACAACTTGGAAAATGTTATAGTTAAACAAAAGTCTAAGCAGGAACTGCATGCACAACCAATGGAAATTGAAAAAGGATGGAAAAGCAATAGAAATTAGGAAAAAGTATTTTGTTTTGAGCAGCAAAGGAGAGAAAATAAACATATGGAAAGGGGTGGGAAGTCAACTTTTAAATTTGAATTCATTTGTTATTAATTTGTTGGGGTTTTTTTGAAAATCAATTAAAATTAATTGGCAAAACCAACAACACTGTTCCACATTTTGGGGAAAGACCCTTTGCCCCAGTAAAGTAAGTGCAACTGCTTGACTCACATGAAACATTCAAGGGTTTGGTTATGAACTGGGGCCGATTTCTACTGTGCATTTTGTAGCACAGCCCAATTCCCCCTTAACTCTACCATTTCACCTCTCAGATCTGTCAGAGGGGACCCCTGACGAGGAGCCCACAGCCTCCTTTGCCGAGCTGGAGGCAGAGAGAAGTCAGAAGAACAGCGAAAGCGATGTTTCAAAAGAAGAGGAGAGGAACAGCGTAGAAGAAAGGGAGACGAGGGCTAGAGATGTTGACTCTGAAGAGCAAAAGGAGAATGCGGCGGGATTTGACGGCAACGAGGTTGGTGAGAATGAAGGACTGCCCTGGGACAACACAGTAGACAATCACATCCACGATGAGGCCCAAGACGATGAGGCCCCTCAGCAGAGACGCCAAGAGGGTGAAGAAGATGAAGAGAGAAAGGAAGACCATGAGGTGGTGGGGGTGGAGGGGGAGGAAAAGGGGCACATTTCCAAAAACAGCCAGGAGGAAAGCGAAGAGGAAGGAGAGGACAGTGTCAGAGACCAGGCTGAGGAGGAAGAGGAGGAGGAAGAGGAGGAAGAGAAGGATGGGGAAGAAGAGGATGATGAAGAAGAAAGAGATGCCTCTGAAGAGGAACGTCCTACCAGCTCAGAGGACAAGGATGATCAAAGGGAAGATGGTATGTTTATCAGCTTAAACCCATGTCCCCTTATTTGACTTACTGTCTGATGTTGCAGTCATCACCACTTTGAGCTTCAATACTTGGATGATCTATTTTACTGATGGGCAGTATCCAAGTTAACTTGTTTCATTAGGGCAAGGATTTCTACTCGTGCCATGGGACCTCCCCCATCTCCCTTTCCCCAACCCCCCAGAGTACATTTGGGGAGAGTGTGGAGAGAGGAAGGGGGGAAAGTTCCATTGCATGAGCTGAAATCCTTGCACTGACGGAATGAGTTGGTTGGATAATGCCCTATATGTTTGGATGCTTCCAGCAGTGGCAGGGAAGACTGTTCCCCTGTTCTTCAATCCTAAGTGCACTTAACTGGAAGGAAACACCATTAAATCTTTCAAGTAAATCACCCAAACACTCAAGTAATGGAGGGGATTTGAATGGAAGAGCTGGGCTGTTTGTGCTCTCTGCTCTAGGTCTATATCCGCTCTCGACCCATTCCTTTCAGGCATGTGAAAAGGGGCAGAGCTCCTTCCTTTTCCTACCCTAAGGTGTGTTGGTTGCTAGACATGGAGATGAAGGAGATGAAGGACAAGAGCCAACCTTCAGAAAGGTGTTTAGGGAGGCTCCATGATCAGTATAGTCACCATGGCCAGTAGGCGTCTATTGCTTTATACTCCTATGTATGACCTGCATTTTATTTAGCCAAAGCAAACCATTAAACTATGTTCATTTTGTTCAATTTCCTTTTAGATAACCAAGATGCTAAAGAGTTTGATCGGGATGGACAGCCTTCAGAAGAACAAGAGAAATTCCGTAGTGCAAAGGGAGGAAGGCATCACACATCTCGAGATGAAACAATGCAGGATGAGGACACCTCCCGCGCCAGGGATACTGAAAGTGAGGAAGTGGAAGAGGACCCCTCCAAAGGTTTAGAAGATGCCAAGAGATGGAACAAAATGGACGAGCTGGCTAAACAACTGAGCACTACGAAGAGGGCGGAGGAAAGCGAAAGCAACGAAGACCCAGACAGGTCCATGAAACTGGCTCTCAGATCCCGCAAGCAGGACTTCCGTACCTCTGAAGAGGACAAGAGGAGAGCGCAGAAGCATCATTCCAAAGAGGAGAGCAGCGAAGGAGCCTTCCCACTTGCTGCTCTGCCTGAGGAAAAGAAGGATGAAGAAGGAAGCGCTAACAGGAGAACAGAGGTAAGACTCCCCTATCTGCAATGACCAGTCTGAGAATGGGGCTGCCAACACACCATGCGACTGAAGCACGTGGCTTGCCCCTAAGAATCCTGGGAAGTGTCGTTTAAGGGTGCTGGGAATTAGAGCTCTGGGGGGGGAGTAAACTACAGTTCCCAGAATTTTTGTGTATATGCCGCTTGGGTGTGTTGAGTTCTAGAAGACGATGGAGTCCTTTCTGGCAGAGGAAATTGCTTCTTGCAATAGCGATTTTGTCACATACCCCAGGGGCAGTGCTACTTGGGCCTAGGCTTCCTTTGGAGAAGACACTTTCTGGGAGATTCATGGCAGCTCTTACTTTATTTACAAATATTCATATGCATTTCTATCTAGGGCTTTTAGTGCCCATGAGCTACCCTGGAAGGCGGACCTCGCCATTTAAAATCGTTATGTCATAAAGTACAGTTAAAGATATATTTATCTTTAAAGATATATGGAACATAAAAAATCGCAACAGAAGCAATACTTCACCTTTGCAGTAGATACTTAGCAGGCAAAAAAGCCTGCCAGAGCAAGAACATAAGGGCCTGCTGGATTAGGCCAAAGGCTTATTTAGTTCTCAAAGTGGCCAACCAGTTGCTATGGGAAGCCAACAAACAGGACCTGAAGCATATGTGATCCCCAGCAACTGGTACTGAGAGGCACATTGCCCCTGACTCTGGAGGTGCCTTCCTCAAACTCCCTATTTCCCAAACCGTCTCCCTTTGGTCAGAGCTGCATCCCTAGTAGAAGTGGGGGGCCTGTTCTCCTGTACCTTCAGCAGTACAGAATTGAGGTTTCTGAAAGTGCAACAAGTGAACAATTGATTTTAAGCATCTTTACCCTGCTTTTCAGCCAGAGTAGCTTACAAATGCCAACAATAAGACAGTCCCTGCACTCAGGTTTACAACCCAAAAGGCGTGACTCCAAAGGAAACGTGGGTGGCGCTGTGGGTTAAACCACAGAGCCTAGGACTCCCCATGACGGGGTGAGCTCCCGTTGCTCGGTCCCTGCTCCTGCCAAGCTAGCAGTTCGAAAGCACGTCAAACTGAAAGTAGATAAACAGCGGGAAGGTAAACAGTGTTTCCGTGCTCGGCTCTGGTTCGCCAGAAGCGGCTTAGTCATGCTGGCCACATGACCCAGAAGCTGTACGGCGGCTCCCTCGGCCAATAAAGCGAGATGAGCACCGCAACCCCAGAGTCGTCCACAACTGGACCTAATGGTCAGGGGTCCCTCTACCTTCACCTTTACCAAAGGAAAGGGAGGATGGGAACACTTGTTAGAGAATTCTTGCAATGACTGGCTTTCAATGACCAAATCTTTGAAAAGAGATTGAGGAGAGAAGGACTCAAAAGTTGCTGGTCTCTTAGCTAAGCCCATGCAAAAGCCCTGTGAGCCCCTTTCTGCCTCTACTGTAGCCTGATTGAGTGGCAGGAAGGAGCCTCAACTGGTGTATCTCATCCTTGCATGGCAAACTGTATCCCTAAAACCTCTTCTGCAAAGAAGGTACCTGAGCTCCCTTTGTATTGCTTTGCGTCTGATAACTGGGATCCCTAACAGCCAGCAGAAACAGGTCAACTTACTTGGCCACCAAACTGAGAGGCTATTCCCTTTCTTCCATCTACAGCAGATGTGGGGAATCTTTGGCCTCTCCCCAGATGTTGCCAAATGGCAACACCCATCACTCCATGCTTGCTGTGGCTGATGTGAGTTGTTGTTCATCAACATCTGGAAGGTTCAAAGTTCCCCGTGACTGATCCGCAGCTCCACACTGCCTTGTTGTTCAGGATTTCAGTTTGTTCCTTTCAAGTGCATGCACACACACACACACACACACACACACACACCACTGTGTTTTCAGGGAATTGCCAAGACACTGATGAGACACCAGGGAGGCCACCAGAAAACCATGACGACGGTTGCTCAGGTGCCAGTAGCAGAGCAAAAGCCCTCATCGCCAGCTCAGCAAAAAGTAAGGGAGAGAGAGGAGGGAAAGAACAGCACACCTGCCCATGTTCATTAGGAGGAGAAAGAAATGTGATACCAGTGAGATTGTTCAAACACATAAGAGAAGCGTGTGTACACACACACACACACACACACACACACACAAATACATTAACACCAGTTACCTGGCTTGCAACTCACGGCAAAACATTTTGCAACCCTTGATCGTTTTCAGCGCTCTCTCCTGTTTTATAATCATCTGAGACCACATGGCACACATCTCTTTGTCAGGGTAAACTTCTCAGCCACCTTAGGGGTGCAAGTGGTGTCGTGAGATGCTGCGAGCGACCTTGGTGTCAAAATACTCATTGTGCTTAATGCACAGCATGCGACAGCGGCTGTTTTCTCTCTAGGCGTTTGGATTTTCACCAGGACCGCGGGACATTTGGAAGAGAGACTTAGTAGAGATGGAGAAATTTGGCGCAGTTCACCTTACACAGCTAACTTTTTGAAATTCACACTTCTTTGAATGTTCTTGCAAAAGAACAGAAAATGGCCATTTTGTTCCACAAACAAAGTGTCTCCTGTGATGCTACAAAGTCTTCCTTTCGGTTACATTAACTGGCTGCTCTCCAGGAGATTCTAAGCACTTTGATTAAATGGGCAGGGTTGAGTTCCTCAGCAGCTAACATATATTTCTAGCCAACTCACTGATATTATCCAGAGACATATGACAGCCTTTAGGGTTGTTTTTTAAATAATACCATTGCTGTTGTTCAGGGATGGGGAACGTGTGATCCTCCAATACTGTTGGATAACAATTCCTATCATCCTTGACTATTGGCCATGCTGATTGGGAATATTGGGAGGTGGAGTCCAATAACACCTGGAAGGTTGCAAGTTCCCCATTCTTGTTATATCAAGTACAGGCACAGTAGCTCATAGGATCAGGCAGGATAAAGATCCGACATAGGCGAGAATGACATGCACTATTGGTTCTGCTGATGGCTGACTCCAGATTTAATTTAATGCCGAATATATCAAACAACAGGCCTTTCAGTTCATCCCCCCCATTTATTTATTTTTTTAATTTTAAGTATTTAAATTAAATTAATGTATTAATTTGTTCTAATAAATTATATTAAATCAAATATTTTTAATAATTAAGTTAAAATGTTTAATTAAATTAAAATTAAAATAGTTACAAAGTGGTTTATAAAAAGGATACAGACTTAGTAAAAACAAGCAAACTACTTGTGCAATAAGTGCATGTAAAACCCAAGAATCCAGCAAAAAAAGGGCAGTCCATTGCAAAATACATTCTTATATTTTTTTTCCAAAGTCTTTAGAGCTACTCTAAAAGCAGATAGTTCTGTCTGCAGAGTTTCACAGCTGTGGAGCAATTTCTTCCAGCCCTGAAATAACCCTTCATGTGGTGTCTTTCCCCTCTTTTCTTTTATAGGACCAAGAACTGGAGAGTTTGGCAGCAATAGAAGCGGAGCTGGAGAAAGTGGCCCACAAGCTGCATGCCCTGCGAAGGGGTTGACACTTTTATAACACACGCCGTAAGCAAGAAGCCAGAAATTTTAACTCACCCTTTAAACACTGCAATTTAATGTCTCTGTGTGTGGTTTTTGTTTTTTAAAAAGATGAAAGTAATAATAATGGAGAAAGTGCATTTTACATAGGAAGCCAATTATCACTAGAAAAAACAACAACACCGATTTCTCTCTCTGTGGTAGTCATGCTTTCCATTCACATTTGCTTGTTGTTTGATTTCATGCTTGCTTCACTGGCTTGTAACTTTTGGATTACAGGATCACAAGCAGTATGGCTTACTCATGTATTTTCTGTTGATTAAAAGGGATTGTTTTGTCATTTCCCACCTTACTTTTTTCCTTTTCCTTTTTGTCCATTTCTTTTTTTCTTTTTTTAAAAAGAAAAAGCCAAGACAGCTTTCTAGAATGTTTAACTTGTACCATTAGGTTTTACTGGATAAAAGAACTTGCAATAACTTGTTAATCTTTTGATTCGAAGATGAGAATTCTGACTGTAATATATTCTATATAAAAATTAAGGACGAAAATAAACACACAACGTTGGGCTCCTTCCTTCGTCTCTCACAGCTGAATTCTAAGAACCCGCAGAGCAGCGCTTCTCAAGTACGTAGATCTCTGGGGCGGGGGCAACTTGAGTGAAATATATTGTACTTGTATTTCTTTTACAATATAAGTAAAAGAAATACAATATAAAAATACAAAAGTATGCTGCGTTCAGAAGGCAAGATCCTGTGCATGATCTGCACATCATCGTGGGGGCACAGTTGTTTAGCATTATCTCATGAAGAGTGGGGCATACAAGACACAGGCACAGTACATGGTGTGGTTAAGGGTGCTGTTCATTTCCATTAAATTTGATGTCAAATGTACTTCGTGCTATTGCCATTCATCCTCAGTTCAAGGCAGGTTTATTTTAGCGCGCAAATGCACACACACACACCAAGTGCAGTTGGAGAAATGGGGAGAAAACTAGACTTGCCATTCCGGCTTCTGATTTTATCCCAGAATGACCCTATTTCCCCTGCCAGTGTTGCAGCTGAGCTCGGGGAGAAGGATGACCCAGCTCGTCCTGAGGCGGCGGCAAGGGAGCATCTTGTTGCCTCTCCATGGCCTCCTCATGTTTATTATTATTATTTACTGAATTTATATACCGCCCTATACCCAGTGGTCTCAGGGCGGTTCACAGTTGCTGGAGAGCGAGTCAGGAGGAGAGGCTTCGCTTCCACCACGCAGGCCCAGCTCTTTGTGATGAACTGACTCTGAGAAGCAGGCAAAAGGAAAGGGCTACCCAAGTGGAAGAAAGATTTGTCCTCCTACTAGGAAATGCTCTTTGGGATGGGATATCAGGCCAGTCAGGACCTGGAACTCTACAAAGCAGCAGGTTAGAATATGTGCAATTTAAACTGCACTGGGATTGTAAATCTGGATATGAAAGTTGTTGTGTGCTTTTTTAAAAAAGACCAGTCTTATGGAATAAAATCTCACCCAGGTCCTGAACCCCAACCCAGCTATCTTGAACCATTAAAAAGAGTGCAGGAGAAGGTGGTTTAATAAGGCATTTATTTTAATCATGTGTTTGGAAAAGGACAGTGTTGTACCCAAAGCAGACACAGAAACAACAGGTGATACTTAAGTGCATTTTACTCTCGTTAAAAAAAAAAAATCTGTCACAGGTGTTTGGCAAATAAAGACAAAAATGGGATAAACTGCTATTGAAATCAACAACATAAGCAAGAGTTGAGAAGCACCATATTATTATTGAGAAGAATGTCAGACATGCAGTACATGTAAAGAAGCCATGGAGCTAATATTTTTGGTTTTTATAGAAGCCCAGATGTTTTTCTTATATCTAATCTAATCTATCTATCTATCTATCTATCTATCTATCTATCTATCTATCTAACATGTATGTATGCATGTATGTATATATAATATATACATGTTCAAATTAAATACAAAACCATTTAGTTTTTAATGAAAGTAATTTTGTGAATGGGAACATAAGAATCACAACACTCACACTTGCTAACACTACAGAAAGTGGCAGAGAATTATGAATGTTCTTTTGCAACCTTGGAAGGAGGAGGAAGCTGGTCCCGAATGAGGCGAGCTTTGAACTGGGAACACTGAATGTCAAGCATGCCTTAAAAAACCAAAACCCACAACAATTCCTGATTCATCAAACAAAAGATGTGAAATCCCAATTACTGGCAAAGATTAGTCCAGTTTAATGGGGTCTTTATTGGGGATCTCACTCGAAAGGGTGCACTTGAGCCACGTTTATAAACACTGAGGAAGGCAGGGATCTAAAGAAATAAATAATTTAAAAAATACATCTAGCATAGATTTTCATTTTTACAGCAGACTTTTCTTTTCTTTACAAAAGAGATGAAGACCTCTTATCATTCATATACAGCCTCAAATATAGAAGTCACTATTTTATACGTACATATTTGCAATGTTCAGATACTACACAAATCTCTTCACACCCTGAAATGTTGTATCAGGAAGTTACTGTGCAAGCAGGGGAAGAGAAACGTGAAATGCTAAAAAGGAAGACGTGATTCCTCTCCCCACCACACACACCAACACACAGAAATTTCACTAGCTTTGCTCATTAGAAATTAAGACAAGCCTTTTTGCCGCCTTTTTTTTTTAAAGGAAGGAATTAAACTGAATTAATAAACACTCAAGAGTTTGATTTTCAAGTCATCCATAAGTCAATTATGCTGTTAAGCCCAGTGTACAAAAAGCAGCAGATCCAAGGGGGGGGGCACTCTGATGTATCTGGCAAACACAGGCTCTAGCCTAAGAAAACTTGCACCCCTATATATTTAGTAGTGTTTGAGGTGCCACAAAACAATGTTATTGTTCCTGGACTGTTCCAATTTAGGTGGCAGGTGAGTTTGCTTCACTGAGTGCTCTGCCATATAAAAAAACAGAACGCTTCCAGGCAGGCAGGGAGGTGGCAGCAAAAGGGATTTTAACCTAGGCAGCCCCTTAATAATCTAGCTTTCTATGTACCTACAAACCTGCTGCCTGAAGCAGTTCAGTCCAGAAGAGTTTTAGCACATGACCTTTTTGCTGCTCTCCCCCAGGGAAAACTGCTCTTTAGAGCTCAGTCGGAGCAAATGGCAATTTTGGTCTTCTCCAGATTGATGTTTGCTCTGATTTAGCATCGGGTTTTCCCTGGGAAAGGAGCAGGGCAAGGGGGGAAACTGTTCAGACCCATGACTAGAAAGGGCTGGGCGAGTGGGAAACTTCTTAGATCCATGCTCTCTAGGTATGGGACACAAGCCCTGGGTGAAAGAAGGAAAGTTCATATGGATCTGTTGGTCAAACGTGTGCTTTTGATCACAGGGGCTAAAAAAGCAGCAAGAAAAGGCTCAGCGGCTTTGAAATAGCAGCACTCAAGTCGTGCTACAGGTTGTTATGTAGAAATTATGTTTCTTTAAAAAGAGACAGCTCCTCATAAAAGCTGAGTTTTAATATTAGAGCTGCAAGGTTAAATTATTTACCTGCCCAATGAAGTAACATTTTGCTTGACTAAGAAGATACCCCCAATATTTTTAATACAAGTAGTTGAAATTGCAGATTGAAAGCATAGTAATAACAGAAGAATTCCTTCTCTTAAGAAATTAGGAATGTCTCGTCTAAACTGATGCCTGATGCACACATGTATGATTAATTAAAAATAAAGCTTTTTTGATAGGTGGAATGATAGAATCATGGAAATGACCCTATAGATCATCTAGCCCAACCCCCTGCAATGCAGGAAAATGCGTCCATATAGGTATCAAACCCATTACCTTGGCATTATCAGCAACATGCTTTTTTTTAATCTGCAAATTTATTTAATTAAGAACCAATGAACTAAAACTCATGATTAAACCAACCAAGACGGATGACAGACGTAGTTTTTATTGATTAAATGGCCAGCATCCACCACCACTTGACAACATTTTCCAATCACACAAAAATGCTTTTGAAATCAAGTGTCAACCAGGGTGTGATGGGTGTGTGGGGGATAACAGAGGGGTAAACTGTTGTAGTTTTAAGTCAGCCACGACAATAATAAATCAGGTATATGGATAACGTAGCCCCATGTAACTCCAATGGCTGATTTCTTTAAAGTACAGTTCAGTGCCATGAATAATTTACATAAATTAGGCTATAACATTACAGCAGATTCTGAGAAATTCTTTACTTTTGACTTATTTTGCACACTACTGGGAGAGCATGGCAGCGCTCATGGCAATGGCATTACATTCACACTGAAAGAGCTAAGTTTTATATACGTTTATTTCTAGAAGGAAGGGCTTTTCAGAACTGGGGGGGGCGAAGCTGAATGGGCTGTGGATTTATGCCCAAGTGCACTCTGAAATCTTTCAATCCATATGTACACAAAACACTAGCGTGAATGTCTTCTTTCTGTTCATACAAGGATGGGCAAAGCCCCTGTTTCTGTAATACAAAAAAAGCCAAGTGGCTGCCTTCTGACAGGGCCTTATTTTAAGCGTGACATTGCTAAATGCACACAAGCATTAACGTTCTCAGGCAGTCCGAGAATTCTTTGCAACTTCTGTTAAAGATGTATCTACTGAACAGCAGCAGCAGCCGTTCAGTTAGCTGTTCTCCTTGCCAAAGGTATATGTGTTAACCCTTGGTCCTGTCCCACTGATGGCTGTGATTGCCTTTCATTTTAAATTAAAGCAACATTTATGCATAAATGCGTAGGTTCCCCCTTCCCCAAATTTACAAATGTTTGAAGAACAGTAGCAAAACAAAAACAATTCCCCCCTGACTCAGTAGCAAGACTGTTCCAGGGCTTGGGTGTATCCGTGACAGCTCTGGTGCTAGCCAATAGGTAACCAACACTGGCCTTTCCTTGTTCCAACTGAACAAGGAAAACCTGCTGGATGATAGCCCTATTCAGGCATAAGTTCTCTCCATGCATAAAGAAACAAGTGACTCAGTGCATGCTGCCAAACTGTACCCCTTCCAAAGCATCACAATTACCGTGTTTAGAGCACTCCACAAGCAAAATCTGCAGCGGGGAGCCTCCTCTACCAATCATTTTCAGCATTTAGATCCCTGGTTATATGCTGGAGTGGGACGGCACTTGACAGCAAGCTCTCACTCACATTTGTTTATGCATTCAGTAAAAACGGTGCCCAATAAGGTGTGTGTGTTTCCTGTAAGACAGAAAAATGTACAACTGTTTTCACCCTATGTATGACAAGGAATATCACGCGTACTTTCAGACTGTTAAGCACACACAGAAAACTGTCACTGGAAACTAAAATCTGGAAGCACCTCAAATACGGGTTCAAGAGTTTTGATGCTCCTGTGGCCCATAGATGAAAAGTTCATTTTATACTGATGTAGCTTTATTTTTTAATAACATTTGCTAATTGCTCTGCAATTTGAAACAGCACACCCTTACTTCCCCAGCACTTGTGTGAATTAGTTGCATTCCTTACTCATGCCATATGGAAAGATTGATGCAGAGAAGCCTGAGGAATTCATTTTCTGCGGAATCCACTGCAAACTGGTTATCCTTTGGAGTTTGCATTTCTCCAGATTTTGAGATAAGAGATCTCAGCTCAAAAAAAACATATGGAAATGCTTTTTTTAAAAAGTGTATTTTAGTATTATGTAAGTTTAGAAATGCACACACACACTGATGTAAAAGAAATGTTCAAATATGTATTTTGTGATAAAATACATATTTAAAAATAAATCTTGTGTGGTTTAAAACAAAAATCATTGATTCATGCGGACACGGGAACAGGCTTATGAATGAACATGTGTGAAATTGACATAGACCAGAGTTGGACTGATCCACCATCCGTAGTTTGACCCAAGATACTGACAGGCAAATGTCATACTAACAGAACTACAACTTACTTGCTGATCAAGCCAGTTGTTAATACCATCTTGTTACAGAATATTTGTAGGATATGAAACTTCAATAAACTTCAGTTATAGCCATGGGAGGAAAGAGGCTGGTCACCTATTTGGCTACGAAACTTAAATTAGGTTCCAGCGGTAGTCAAGATTTGGACTGCATTTTTGTGTTAAAACTTCAAAGAAATTACAAAATTTATTAAATAATCATTTTTAAACAAATATTAAAATGCACAATTATATTTCAGTAGTTTATTTTGGAGAAATGAAGCAGTGCAAAATAGGCCAACCACAATTTAGAAGGCAGCCGCGAAAATAATTCCTTGCTTATTATTAAATCTAGCAAACAGCATAAATACACTGTAATTGGATCCAATACTCAGATTCATGTAAACATTGTTAGTTTTGAAATGTTTCCCCATTACTAAACCAGACCGAACAGACTCTTCTTCTAGCTTGCTCACCCCTTAACACAAATTTAATATTGCCACTTCAAATTTTTTAAAAAGGTGGTGGGGGGGAGTAATAATTAAAAATGCTCCGTAAGCCAGTGATGCCACAGTACCACAATATATATCATGGTAGACTGCTTGCTCCCTGAGGACATCTGTGGCAAGAACCCATGACTCTTCCTGCTGCTCACAGCCCATAATGGTAAGTAAAGCAAAGTTTGTGACAGTACATCACATTGCTGGTTTCCTGACTCATGTCAACGGCAGCCAATGAGGTGGCACAGGGTTTGCAACACTCAACATGATAACATCACAAACCTAGTATTACTGAACATTACAGGCAGAGAAGGAGGGGGAGAATCAGTTGCTTTCAGTGATGCTTCTCACCAAGATTAAAAGGGTTTTAGAGAAATACGTTCTGTTTGCATTCATTTATTTTTTTTACATCACAAACTTTGAAAAGGCTTCCTGCAACAGGAAGAAAATCCACGTTTGACCTACTTTGCACTCCCACCCCAAATGCATGTTTTAAAAAAATGCACAGGCAAATCCGTACAATTTGTTTTGATGCCTCCACAACAGCTGACATGGGAGGAAGATAATTATTTAGGATTGCTGTGGCCTAAATTTCGTACGGAAAGCGCTAGCGGTCTCTCGTGGAAAATAGTTTACCAAGGATAGCCTCTTTCAGAGGGTGTGGGGTGGCTAATTAAGTTTATTACTTTCTTGTGGCGTTCTATAACGGAGTTTATAAATGAAACGCAATCATATAAGTAAAGTTAGCATTCTCTCCCCAACCCACCCCCTGCTGCCCTCTAATACCAACACTTATAAACCTTTCTCCAAAAAACACACCCCTATGGTTGGGCAGGGTGAACACTTGTCAAGTCTCCAAAATGTGTGTGGTCATTCTCCCACTCTGGTTCTTCCCATGCCCCAAAATTCATCAATTGCTCCCCGTTTCTCTTTCTTTATTGCATATCCAAACATTATTGGGACCAATGGGTGGGGTCCTTAAGGCCAGTTCATATTCTTTTAGCGTTAACAGTACATCAAAGCAACATGTGACATGTGAAGTGGCTGGCAGACATGCATGATGGACATGCTCCGTTCCCCTGAAAACCATGTGTGCTGGGAGAGAAAACACATGTACAGCCTGGGCCACAGGCTGGCTTGCATGCACACATATCCTCTTACCATGCACTCACCATGTGTGAACTGGCCTAGGGAGCTACAATCCATGTAAATGCTCACTCGCTCCATCGGTATCTAAGCCCAATATAAGACCTTACTAGCGTTTCCTTAATTAAACGACTTAGTGATTGTTTCAAAAAGGAAGAAGCCCACAATCTCACCAACAATGCCATCTCAACATCCTGGCCAGTTCCATTAATTTTGGTTTAAGATTCGGAACTGGACAAAGGCGGACAAAATTCCTGGCAGGAGAACTGAAAGGAATTGTGTGCTGAAAGAGTTTAAGGTGCACTTTTGCTTTGCAACCAGGTCCTAAGGTATAAGCAGGCTGTGAAATAACTTATAGATTCTATAACATTGCCCTAATGACACTATTTCGGTGACAACGAGAGGAGGTGGGGAGAGAACGAGAGAGACAGCCAAACACAAAGAGTGATTGGGTTGGGTGGGTGGGTAGTGTAATGAAAGTTGCCACCCGGTTTTGGTTTTTTGTACAAAGTTCTGCCTGTTGAGTAAAACGAATAATGGGGAGTAGTGGTCACAAAACTAGTTGACCCTTTGCAGTCTCAGGATCAGCAAAGCAGCAAGAAAATTTTAAAAGGCCTGGTTGAAAAGGATTGTCCCAGATTACTCCTGTGCCAAATACAGCAACATTCATATACGCCAAAGGAACAAATGGCAGTGTTGCGTCGACCTACGCCAATAAGAAATGTACTGGGAAAACAGACTGTTCACACTTGCCAAGTACATAATTTTCTTATGAGAGAAGGGGGAACATTTTGCAACTGGCCCTAACATTAGCGTCCATCAAACCAAAACTAATTCTGGGCATGTAGGTTGTGCCCTAGTCCCGAATCCTTTCAAAGCACCCACGGACATTTGTGCTTAACTCTTTGGACTGGTCTGGGAAGGAGTCACGAAGAAGAACTGGCAT